GAAGCTGGGTGTGCACACAAGAAAAAGAGCTGTTAATATCTTTTTGAGTTTTAAGAAACACTTATTTCCCCTGTGGGCTGTAACTTGAGAATTTTGCTAATATGTCCCCAAATTTAGTTCAGTTACCCTAACCACACTCTCCTGAGGTATAAGAAACACTTATTTCCCCTGTGGGCTATAACTTGAGAATTTTGCTCATATGTCCCCAAATTTCGTTCAGTTACCCTAACCACACTCCCCTGAGGTGCAGCAAATTTCAAGACAATCCGAGTAAGCATGCAAATGTTAGCAGACTAAGACAACTCAACCTTGAAAAGACTTGTCATTTTAGCTATTTCTATTGCTAGTGCTATGCTATAATATTATGTGAAATTAGTAATCAGCAACTGCTATGTGATCTGCTTCAAGTATGTACATTCTGAGCTCCTCAGTCTCAGGAGTCTGTTTTTTTATGCATGTTCTTGGCTTCCTAACCAGGGTGGCCAGGGCTTCCTCAGATTGCCCCACATGTGGGGCATGGAGAGAGGCTCATACACCCTCAGAGACATGGAGTCATCTTGCTTCCACTTGGAGACAGGGATTCAGAGACATTCTCAGAGGGAAAGTGCCTTGCCAAATCCTGGCACATACATGGAAAGGGACAATGTGGGGCTGATAAGCATTTATGTCCCTAATATCTCCCCCTGCCACCCACCTCCACGTCACCCTTCACAGTATACATTCCCTTTCCTCCAACTCCCCTTAATTCCCAGTGCCTGTTTTTTCAGCTGAGCCCTTCACTGCCCCCTGCCATCCATCCTCATAATTCCCTGCCCCTCACTGCAGTCCCGTGTTCCTATTCTCCCCACTCCTCCAACCCATCCCAGAATTCCCCATCTTTCCAACATGTAACTTATTTTCTTTTTTTTTTAAATAGCTTGAGCATCTTCTAAACTTTTTCTGTACTCAGATTACATTTCAACAAAATTAAATGAAACAATCACAGCTGACAGAGGCAGAGCATAACCACATGCCTACTTGGTATCTATCTAGACATCTGGCCCATCACCATAGCATCTGTGGATGCTTCTCTACCTCTTAGGTGCTGAGATAAGTGATTGGGAGGAATCTCTTTTAATCACTAACGAATGGTGAGGATGCCCAATTCTTGGATCACCTTAGGATGTTGCATGGGGAGGTCTCTTACCTTACCATCATATTTTCTTTGGAAAGGGAGATGAAGGCAAATTTGTGACTACATGGGCTTTAGTATTATCTCTGTGATTTGACTTTGTTTATCCCTGGCCCCACTGAATAGTTTGTTATACATGTAAGTTATACATCTAGAAACAAAGAATGCAAACCATACTTACAGGAATCTTATCCTGGAAAACAGTGACTCTAACCAGGATGATAATTAACCATTAGAACTAGTTACCAAGCGTTGTGATAGATTCATATTTACTGGAAATATTTAAATCAAGACTGCATGTTTTACTAAAAGATATAGTTGCAGTTGTAGTTCAACCACAGCTGTTGGACTTGACGTAGGAATTAATTCTGAGAAGTCTTGTGCCCAGTGTTAAGCTAGAGGGTCAGACTAGATAATTTTAATGGTCCTTTCTGTCCATATGATCTGTTAACACTTATATTTTTACCAGAGGCCCAATCCTGCTCCATGTAAGTTACTGGGGCTTTTATTTTCACAGGTACAGTAAAACTCCAATTGTCTGGCATCCAGTGGTCCGGCACTCCTGATAGTCCGGCACCAACTGGAACCCGGAAGTGCTCCGGCCAGCCGGACAATTGGAACTGCTCCCCACCACTTCCTCAAGTCCGCTGCTGCCACTGCTGAAACTGATCAGCTGCGGACCTGGGCAGAGCAGCTGGGGTGCTGCTGGGTTGGTCCCACAGCGCTGCCCCTCACCAGCACCTGGTTCGCCTCACGCTGCACCATTCCCCGCCCAACCCCCCACTCCCAGACCCGTCACAGCCCCCCTGCCGGAGTACCTCCTGATACTCTGGCATATCCGATAATCCGGCACCCCCTGGGTCCCAAAGATGCCGGATTATCAGAAGTCTGCTGTATTTGGGTGGCTAACTCAGAGTATGACTACACTACACAGCTTTTAGTACCAGGTTGTGTTGATACAGCAGTGTCACCTAAAAGTCAGAGGCTTCGTTTACACTGCTGGTTTTGCTGGCAGTGAGTATGCAAATGAGGGGTGGATTAGCATATCATTGTACCTCATTTGCATAATGCATGCAAGCTGTTTTTGCAGGAAAAAAAAGTAGTGTGGATGTTTTCTTATAGCGCAAAAACCCCTTTTCCCATCAGACCCTTATGTCCCAAAAAAGGAGGTTTACCGATCTGGTGGGAAAAGGGGTTTTTGCTCAAAAAGAAAACATCCACACTGCTTGTTTTTGCATAAAGACCCCTAGGCAAAAACGGATTGGCAGAAAGTATGCAAATGAGATCATATTTCATGCAAATGGGTCCATTATTAGCATATTTTTTGCCGAGAAAACTCGTAATGTAGACATAGCCAGACAATGTAAACACTGTTCACACTTTTGCAGACAAAGCAAATGTTGTCTTTGAGGGATTGAGAGGAGTAAGCACCGGTGAAGGACAAAAGCTTTGTTGCTCAATTGCCAGTGTAGACAAAGCCTCAGTGGGAGAGAGATGCCTAATACTTTTGAAGGATTTTGACGTGGACCTGGGAATTTTATAGTTAATTTCAAACGGAGCAGAAGCAGGCCTCAGGTTCGTAAGGATCCAGATGCTGAATTCTTATTTTTTTCTCCAGTTACAATAATGCTTACAATCAACTCATATGCTCCAGTGAACAAGGCTTTCCTGCCCAATTACCCCGTGAGAAAATGGAGTGGCAGTGAAAGAATTATATGCTAAACTAAGCACACATTTACATAAACAAAGTCAAACTGAAAAACTGCTAAATCATTTGGTCCAAAATTAGGTCAGATTCTGTAACGAAAGGAAGTTTCCCTGAGTAACATAGCATAAGGGCTCTGTTCCATGTTTTTTTGACTGACATTCAGGTCATATTGGACCATATACACAATGCAATATGCATCCAATTTGCTGTAGGTTACAAAGAGCTATCTATCCTAAGTGTTGTCAACTTTTTTGAGCACTCACGAGTATTGTCAGTTGGAGAAGTCTCAGAAAACTGTCTTCAGTAATAGAGAATTATTTGTGAAATTTGAATTGACAGAGTGATGCCTTGTTATGTTGGTCCAAGAATAGTAGAGTCTGGGTCAGAGGTGAGCAATAATTTTTGATCACAGAAGGGGCAGGGTGAAATTTGAATTGACAGAGTGATGCCGTGCTATGTTGGTCCAAGAATAATAGAGTCTAGGTCAGAGATGAGCAATAATTTTTGACCACAGAAGGGGCAGGGCCAGGACCCTTCCATGCTTCCCCACCCACATACAATGATTGGTCTGGGGATGGGGAAGTGTCCAAAGTCTTCCCCCTCCCCACCTGAACTGCCAAGCTATTCTGAACAGCTGGCTGTTCCCTCTAGGTACCCATGCCCCTGGTGTGGGAGGAGACTTTGCATGCTCCCCCTGCTGCCCCTGGGTCAATCAGGGCCTGGGAAGGGGGAGCACATGAAGTTTCTTGCTCCCTGCCCCTGCCCTGCAAGGGAGCTCTGTGCTTAGAGTCAACTGCCTGTTGAGCAGCACCTTTAAGTGCTGAGCCCTTTGAGGGCAGGAGGAGACTTCGTGCACTCTCCTCTGTTCCCAGGCCATGACTGGCCTAGGAGCGGGAGGAATGGCAGGGCCTCTGCAGGCCGGATCAACTCCCTTGGCAGGCAGATGCGGCCCACAGAAGTCCTTTTGCCTACCCTTGGTCTTGGTAGATGATGTAATATTTTCCATTGGATCAATGGAAGTTGATCCAGTATATTATCTTACTGACCTTGTCTGTTAGAATAATAAAACAGAACTTTAGTCTACAAGGCATACTGTTAACACTGATAGGTCTTAGATTTACATCTTACCTGAAAAATAAATATTTTTGGTTTTCTAATATCCCCACTAATAATAAAGCCCAAGCAACCCCCCATGACACTTTTAAAAGAAAAGGCTGAAGCAATATTAAAATTCTAATCCTCAGAGAGTCCAGTGAATTTAATAAACTTGGGATAGGGGATTGTATGCATGTCTAAGCATCTTGTGTTCTCTGTATTCTCTCTGCTGTCTCCATTCCAGTAAGCAGCTGCAGATTGAAATTTTCAACTATTTGAGTCCCTTGCCCATTTACAAAATGAATGGTACCTGATGCGAGGCCATAGAATTTTCCATGAAGACAGCCAGCAGCATTGATGGATGAGGGGAGATTCCTCTTTTCTTTTAAATAGATTTTTCATACCATCTACAATGTTAAGAATGTAGGACCTATCCCCTACAGCCATTACTTACCAGAACAGTCCCTTGAGTCATTACTGGAGTCAAGTGAATCTGCTCTTGGGGAAGAATGGGCTTCCTCTTGGTTTACTCCTCTGGTAACAACAGATGAGGAACCAGGTTCTTATTTTGTAATTTAGACTCTGGCATGGTAGGCACAATGGCTTGGCATTGTTGGCATCATAGGCCAGGTATGCAGAGGTGGAAGTAAGGTAGTGCACCAGTAAAAAAGTGGCTGGCTGGGGGTGGGCTCCAGGGCGGCCTGAGCCCTTTTGGCACCCGGGCTCGGGGCGCTGCCCCCAGGCGCACGGCTGCCTGCCTGCCAGGCCCTGCAGGGCCCCATGGTCATGGGGGGAAGGATGCTGCTGGCTGGCGCCACAGGGGCCGGCGCTGCGGAAGCCAGGTGCACAGCGCCTGATGGCAGCAATAAGGGACGCCGCACGCCCCTTATAGCTGCTATCAGGTGCCCTCCATCTATTGACACCCCGGGGAGCTGCCTGTCTCACCCATGTCTCGGTCCGGCCCTGGCGGGGTCTTAATCTTGTCCTCCTCCCCACCCCACCAGTTGAGCCTGGCAACTGGGACCCTGGCAGGAGGGACACATGGTGCCGGTAGGAGAATCTGGAGCCGTGCAGCTGAGACACCCTGGGGGGAGCAGCAGAGGGGTGTGTGGGTGAGACTGACCCTGCCCATTCTTAGCTCCCGTCCCGTCCCCT